GAAGGTATGGAAAGACTTTGCCAGAGAAAACCAGCACATGAAAAAATTAAAAAAAAAAAAAAAAAGGCATAAAGGCTACACAAGAGAAAACCCTAGTAAATTACTCTCAGCAGTGACAATATTTGCTCAGATGATGAAAACTCCAATTCTGAATTTAATCTAAAGTTGTTGGATAGTATTGGAAAAGACCAAGACAAGAATGTAGCTTGAAAAATCTCCAAACACTCATCCCTTTAAAATCACTGAATTTTATACACTTCATGTTATTCAATTCTAACAAAAGCCTTTATTTTCATTGACTTCTTTAACTACATTTTCAAAAATTCAGTGAAATTCTCCTGGTTTTGGAATACTTCACAGGTCATTCTAAGGGAAAATAATTAGTTAATAAGTGGAATCAGTTAAGCTACATGATATCTAGTTATACATTTTTTTTCCTTTGGTTTGCCATAATATATCCTAAATGCGGGACATCTCAGTACATGTTCACTTCTACTTCCCACATTTACCAGTTCAATAATTTATTCAGTCTTACAGGAAAATGGGTTAACTCTTCAGTAGACTGCCTCTGTAAGCACCAACACTTGGTTAGTGTTTAGTTTTGGGTTTTTTTGTTTTTGTTTTTGCTTTTTTTTTTTTTGACAGGCAGAGTGGACAGTGAGAGAGAGAGACAGAGAGAAAGGTCACCCTCCAATGGCCGCTGCGGCCAGCGCACGGCGCTGATCCGATGGCAGGAGCCAGGTACTTATCCTGGTCTCCCATGGGGTGCAGGGCCCAAGTACTTGGGCCATCCTCCACTGCACTCCCGGGCCACAGCAGAGAGCTGGCCTGGAAGAGGGGCAACTGGGACAGAATCCGGCACCCCGACTGGGACTAGAACCCGGTGTGCCAGCGCCGCAAGGCGGAGGATTAGCCTAGTGAGCCGCGGTGCCGGCAGTGTTTAGTTTTAAAAATCTAAAACATGACTCAGATATTTATCTTAGCAGTTAAGACTTGGCATCTAGGTATAACTCCTGGCTCTAGCTTCTGATCTGTTTCCTTCCTGCTAAAGGAGACCCTAGGAGGCAGCAGAGATGACTCTAAGTAAAAGTGGGTTCCTGGGGCTGGCGCTGTGGCATAACCAGGAAAAGCTACTGCCTACAGTGTCAACATCCCACATGGCCGCCAGATCAAGTCCCAGCTGCTCCACTTCCGATCCAGCTGGAAGGTATGGAAAGCAGCAGAAAATGGCTCAAGTACTTGGGCCCCTGCATCTACGTGGGAGAACCACTGAAAACATTGGGGAGAAAATCAGCCCACAGGAGCTTTCTCTCTCTCTCTGCCTTTCAAATTAAAAAAAAAAAAAATCCAAAATGTGTTGCACTTTTTATAAGAAATAAATTTAGGGCCAGGGCTGTGGTATAGTAGGTTAAGCCTCTGCCTGCAGCATCAGCATCCCATATGGGCGCTGGTTCAAATCCTGGCTGCTCTCTTCCAATCTAGCTCTCTGCTATAGCCTGGGAAAGCAGCCAAACATGGCCTAAGTGCTTGGGCCCCTGCACCCATGTGAGAGGCCCAGAAGAAGCTCCTGGTTTCGAATCGGCCCAAGTTCCAAGAGTTGAAGCCATCAGGGGAGTAAACAAGCGGATGGAAGACCTCTCTCTGTCTGTCCCTCTCTCTGTCACTCTGCCTCTCAAACAAATAAATAAATCTTTTAAATAAGAAAAATAAATTAATTTTGCTTTCTGGAGGTGACAACCTCCCCAGGAGAACACACTTCTTGCAAAGGATCTCCTCAATCCCTCTCCAGAAGTAAAGAGGAGACACAAGAAGCAGCACCTGTTACAGGGCCTCAATTCCTACTTTAAGGACATGAAATGCCCAGGATGCTATAAAATCATCAAGGTCTCTAGCCATCACAATGGTAGTTTTGCGTGCTGGCCGCTCCACTCCCTGCCAGCCTGCAGGAGGAAAGGGAAAGCTGACAGAAGGATGTTCCTTCAGAAGCAGCAGCACTAAAAGCACCCTAAGTCAAGATGAGTGGAAAATCATCCCAATAAATACATTTTGAATACTGAAAAGGAAGCATAATTTTTATCTAATGACTCACACTATCATGAAAGTCAGCTACAGTACTATGACTAAACAGCCTTAGAGATTTTCGGTGTGAATGGTGTCGTATAAGCTACACAGCCTGGACGACTATGCTTTCATAATTCTTTTGTGCATGCCTCCTAACTTTCAAATCTACTGTCAATGATTCTATCAGGGCAGACACATTTTTTTTATTTTTTTATGAGGCTAAAATAATTTAATAACCACGCTTCAGATTCAAGTAACATTTACTATTGGCCTAACAGGCCTTTTCATAAAGGTACTTTCATTTCCTCCAAATACCTTCTGTGAGAATGGTCACCAATGCAAAAATAAAGCAGCTCTACCTAAGGGCATTAAAAAAACGATTATAAATATGGGCACTTAACTGTTTAAGGGAAGTGTGGAGAGCTAGATTTTCTGGGTGTACGTGTGTGTCAGTTTGGTTTTTGTCGGGAAAGAATCTATTTTCCTTGTTCAGAAGTCTTTATAGCTAACTTCCAGCTCAGGCTCAAGTTGTTCAATCAATGAGATATGGATAATGGAGGGGATCACTGAACTATGTACAGCCAGCTGACAGCAACACTAGAGACAGCAGACACCTAAAACAACAGAGGCCTGGACCCATTCACTAAGACTCTTATAAAAAGCAGAAAGAAATGAGTTGTGTTGCAAATTAGGACTTTCATATTTGCAATTATATCTATAATAAAGGCATATATACACTCTCACTATTGTATCACCACTATTTCTTAAGAATTTTAATTGGTTAAAACAGAACCTGTTCAATTCGGCTAAATACAAACTTTAAAAGGACATGATTACCTCCCAAGAAGAAAAATTTCCACCATTAAGTTTACCATCAAAGAGCGGAGTTTTGACCTAGCAGTTAAGATATAAGCAAACCAAACTGAAACTTAGGTTCAATAGGTGACTGGCAATGGCTCCTGACTTCAGCTTCCTGCTAATGCAGATCCTGGGAGGCAGTGGTGTTGGCTTGAGTAGCTGATTTCCTGCTATCTACACGGGGGACCTGGATTCCATTCCTGGCTCACAGCTCTACTCTGGCCCAGTCCCAGCCATCGCAGGCATCTGGAGAATGAACTAGCTTATGGGAGCTTTTTCTGTCTTTCTCTCTCTCAAATAAATACTTTTTTAAAAAGTCATACCATCAATACAAAAAAATTATTTTCTCTGATTTTTAGTTTTTACTTAATGAAATAACATTTCTGTTAAAAAAATTTAATATTAATATTTTTCACTATTCCAAAAACCTACACAGGTCATGGGAAAATATCTTCCCACATCTAATGTAAAAAGTGATCACTGCTTATATTTAGGCTTAAAAATGTAGGCAGTGCCCCTCAAAAGGAGGGTTCTACATGCATTCAATCCTATTTAACAGCCACTTCACTTTAAGTGTCATCTGTGTGCTCGGCATTTGAAGTAAGAACTGTTCATGAATGCTTACTTCTTTTCAGATATTCTAATATGACCACGTAATGTTCATATTCACTTCCTCAGAACTCATGAAGAGCAAGCAGCTCACTCACTACAAACAAGACGGTACCAAGCTGCATAGGAATACACTTTCAGGAACTTTTAATTTAAATTATTCATATAACCATTAAAACAAAACAGCTTTCAAATACTAACCACCTAAAATTCCTGGGCAAAAGGAATATAAATTCCATTCTTGATGTAAATTCCTTTTCCCAGAAGCAACACTGTCCAAAGCTGAGATCTTTACCCTGCACCCCAGCACCTGGCTACCCTGCACCCCAGTACTTGGCTACACGCAAAAACATCCAGGAAGAAGTAACACTGTTGCTACACACATACTTCTGCCCAGCGGTTTTTTTTTTTAAATTGTGAAAAAACATTAACCATTCCACTTCGAAACTAGAGCTATCATGGGATCTGCAAGGCTAAAACTGCGTGAAATTTCACTTTTCTTCCTTAAAAAAGAAAATAGACATTGTGTAGCAATGCAAATTTATAGAAAAAAGATCACTGGGAGCTTTAGGCTTGCGATCACATAAAGATGTGGTTTTCAACCAGACTACAGTTACCTATTCTCAGGTCACCGTGCATCCACAGCTAAAACGGGAAGCCCACTTATTTTAAAGAAAAAGTCTGGAAAATTCTATGACTAACCCACATTTTAAAAAGAGAGTGAATCGTGCCTGAAACGGACGCTTAAGACGTTGCCTTTTTTCTGACGCTAGAGAACATTTCGCAGCCACTTGATCTGGCCCCAAAACGTCAAAGCTCCTGATTTTATCACTTGCTGCAGGAAAAAACGAATATGGCTGAAAATTCTTTCGGAGGGTGGTATTCCCAGCAGGACCACCAACACACTTTGGCTCACGGAGTGGAGAAGCCGGTGGTGGGGGGGGGGGTACCTTATGAAACAGCACACTTGGGGCCCTGCACAGCACCTCATTTCCCTAATAGGGGCGAAACGCTCAGGCCTCCGGTAGCTTCCCGCAGACGTCAGAGCTCTCCACGCACCTCTTCGGGACAGGATTTTTTGGTGTCGGAGGCCGTGTCACAAAAACCCGAATTCCCGAGATCACATCCACGAGGTCCAAGCATCTTCTACCAGACCAACCCCTTCCCCGATCTCGTTCGCCAAACACACCCAGGACGGGGTCCGCTACGCGGACACGGACCAAACCCCGCAGCGCATTAACCGGGAGGAAGGAACAATATACAAAATAAAAAGAGAGTTTCGGCCGTGCCCCCCACCGCCCCCAACCTCGGCGACCGAAATTACAGGCTCCATTTCCGGCCCCCGCGGGGGACCGCAAAGCCACCCGCCGAGAACGGGACGCCACCCGCCCCCTCCAGGCTGGCGCTGCACGCGGCCGCGGCGCTCGCTGCCCGGGCGCGGCGGGGACCGCGGGGCGCCTGCCCGCACCCACCTCGCGGCAGCGGCAGCGGCTTCACCTCGCCGTTCTCCTCGCGGCCGGCCCCGCCGAGGCCGTGCCGCCTCCTCTCCTTCTCCCGCTTCTCCTTGGGTCTGCGCGGCTTGGCGTTGGCCGCGGAAGCGGCGGCCGGCAGCAGGAGCTGGTGAGGCTGAGTGTGCAGCAGCGTAGGAGGCACCAGCACTTTGCGCGGCACCGGCTGAGACAAGGAAGCGGAGGCTGCAGAGGGCACGGCCGCGCCGGCGGAGAAAGAGAAACAGCTCCGAGAAGAGGACGGGGAGGGGGCAGCAGACAGCGCGGCGAAGCTCCAAGACGCGGGGCTGCCATAGCTCTGAGTCGAAGGTGCCGC